TGAAACAACTAAAAACTGCATTAGTGTTTGAAGGTTTTCTCTCTTAGAGAAGTCTTCACTAAAATTAATTTTCAAGGCATGTCACTCAAGAGGATTTACTTACATTCCATATGTTTGGTTCAAAGGTGAAAGAGGGCCTCCAGGAGACAGTGGCTGCATTAACATCCGTCTTGAGAAAGGACATATGGGTGAACCAGGGTCTCCTGGTGAGAACGGATTTAGAGGCGAAAGAGGCAAGTTCATAAAACAAAGCCCTGCATACACACACATTCATCTGATATAAATCACTGGTGTTTTTCACAGGTTTGGACTCATAGCTGCAGTAACATCAAACATCCTTATTGTGTTTACAGATTCTTCAACTAGCAGGCTAGATTCTTTGGACAATTACTAAGGCAATACACAAAGTGTGAAAGCATAGCTATATTCAGAAAATGTGTCAAATAATGGCTTGACTATATTGGTCATTATCTTGTTCTGCAATTAACTACAGGTGAAAAAGGCAATACTGGTTTCAGAGGCACCCCAGGATTACCAGGGAAGAATGGTGTCCCAGGACTGCCAGGTGACCATGGTGACACTGGACTGATGGGGTTTCCAGGATCACAGGGTTTCCCAGGACCAAGGGGCTTTAAAGGAATTCCAGGTTTTCAAGGACAACCAGGTGATCAGGTAAACAAAGTGGTAGTGAAATGTCCTGGACTTTGCAGTTAATCTTCTGCCTCCAAGAAATATGATGAAGGGTACTTCTGTTGCACTTAGCCATTAGATGTTCCTCCTGAGAAGAGACTGTCAGTATAATAGGAAAGGTAAATTCCTTAATGCAACGCTTCAATGCTCTGATTATGTTTTAGCAAGAACTGTAGTCAGAGTCAAAGGGCCTCTCCCTTCTCCTAGCTGCATGTTGTGGTTTTGTTATACTGCCACTTGGTGGAAGCCCAGGCTGCACTGCTCTAATTAGGGGGGGCAAAAAATGTGTGCACAATCAAGTCTAACGTTATTCCTAAGAAGGGACTGACAGATCACTCACTGCAGAGATCATAACATAGCAGCAGCACAAGTATGAAATGGATATATAGCTGCTTCTTCATATCTTGCTACGTGGAGCAGCCAAGCCAATAGATGAGAGAAACCAAGTCTTCTGTGCCCATACTGACAACTCGCATCAGACAGAGCCCAGGCAAGCAATATTTCTTAAGAACAAATATACAAAACCACATGTATGTCACATATGGATATAAGGTAAAATTCTTCACTGGCTTGTATGCTAGGTAGACAGGCAGTGAGAAGCATAAAGCACAGCTGTTTTTTTGGTAAAGGGACATATCTTTGCTTGGCTTGTCTTTTATTACATTTCTTTGAAGAGATAATCTGGGTTTTGCTGATTAGACATCATTATTCAAAAGGAAAACCAGACATCTTTAAATTTTTACTGTTAGATCACAACACATTTCTGGTTAATGTTTATAGTAAATTTTGGGTAACATACAACAATATTTGGTATGTTTTTATGGTACCTTTTAAATCAAATTACTCAAGCCATCTGTGGGGAACTCTTGGCTGTTGAAGCCAAGTGTTAGCATAAACTATAAAAGCACAAATTCAAAATGATTTGCAAGTCTAATCTACAGTTTCTTGGAAGTGTTAGCGGTCAGTGTTAAGACATGTAACAAAGACAGCATGCTTTTCTGTTGAGCTTAAGATACAGTTTTGCTATTCATATTGATTGCTGGTCTGTTTACCAT